AACACACACACACACACACACACCCACACACACACACACACACACACTTGTTAGAGAAAATAATGTTTTCAAGTGGAGGTTGTTGTGGAGATTGTGGAAGGGTTGGGGTGGTAGTCTGTGTAGACAACGTATAATATACATTCACAGAAAAATCCATTTACACTCTTCCCACGGCAACGCAATTTCTAATATCATTTGTATTTGACACTATCATTTCACGAAGAAACGTGAGTAAAAATACGATCTGTAATCGCAATTTATTGTTTCTGAAATCTCGTTGCATAAGTTTGATCCTATGTCTTAGAAAGTTAAAACCTCGACAAACGGTGTATCAGTTGGAGAGGAACAACAATATTTGTTGGTCCTTTCAGTTCTTTACAGTTGGCATCCTGCTCCTACCTGCATTTTCTGCTCTTTTGTCTTCCTATACCTTACTGTCTGCACATTCTTGTTAACCCAGATAATGTCATCCGGACGCAAAGCAATGTTATTGTGTGTTGAGCCTTTTATACGTAACTTTTGCTGCCAGGATATGTTTGAAACGTAGTCTTGACAAATAGGTAAAAATGTTCAATCTCATTTTTTATACTGCCGTTCATATGCGACAGCTCAAGAAATACAGGGTGGTTAAAAAAGAATACGTCAAAATCATCATGCGATATTTAAATAAAAAAGAAAAACAGTAGAAAACTCTATCATGGACACATGTCATGTGTTGCACATACCTTTAAGTTTTTATTTAATGTTTTACAAGTTCTCAATGTGGCTGCACGAACAAAATTAAGCCGATATGAGAATTCCTCCCAAAAACGCCTGAGGATGTCTCTATCCACCGTGTTGATCACAGCTGTTATTTGATCCTTCATGTCATCGATATTTGCTGGAAGTAATTGTCTTTAATATACCTCCACAAAACTGGCTACTTACTTTACTGTAAGTAGATTTGAATGATTTCATTTTTCAGAAAGATAGAGCACCGCCCCATTGGCATCTCGGGTTTCGAGCTTATCTGAATGAAAACGTGCCTCAGCGGTTGACTGGTAGGAGAGGTCCTGAAGACTTTGCCCTCTGCGTTTGGCCTGCCAGATCCCAGGACCTCACTATGTATAATGATACTTAGCTATGTAGGCGATCATGTCTGTTTAACCTCATCTCTTGAACGCAATGTCCTTTAAAACTACCATACTGTGTAGAAAAAAAGATGTGATGTCTACACCATAGAAACCGTATGCATTAAAAGAGAACGAAATGTGGTATTTTAGAGGAGTCAGCTCCTTTTGTTTAAAGAATTAGCAGCAAATTATCAACAGTTTAAAAATATATAGCATATTGGTGTTGTAAAAATTAGTAAGGAAACCAAAAAAAAAAAAAAAAATAATTATAAAAACGTCACTGAAAACTCCGATTAAATAGTACCCTACTAAGATTCGAACCTCAGAGTGCTCTTGATAGCTCAATTTCGCAATGAAACCAGGAAATCGTCATTGGTGAGATTTCTAACAAGGGTCTAATGTTGTCCCGACAAGTGTTCAGACATTCGGCCGCCGACTGATGGGAAATCTCTCTCACCTACCACTGAAATGGGGCTCTTAGGTGATTATACAACAAAGGAGTGTCCCCCCCCCCCACCTACCAGTGGTCTTCATGAATATTTAAGGAACAGGATCACTCCTTGTTCCTTTCACTCTCAAAATTGGCCCCTCCTGTCAAAGCTAAGAGATTTGCATTGGGGGCAGTTCTCATTACGAATCGTCAGAGATAACCCTGTGGATGATGAAAAGGAGGGCAGAATGATCTTTGACGTCACTTTCCTGGTACTCAAATAACAACAATCTTCCTGCAGTGTTAGTCGTCTGAGATTTAGACTTTTCCTGCTTTTTCCCCCCTTTCTTTTCAAAATTTACCGCTGGTCATGTGCAACCTCTCCCTCAGCCAGGGGCGTTTATATCCCAGGTCATATTTTCATAACATGTTCGTGTTAGCTTCTGTTTTTGTTGACCTTCCAACTTTCCAACACTTCATTTATTAAATCAATTTTCAGACATTCGAAATAATAGTTTAAAATATTTAAATATTTATAGAAAATAATGATTTGGAACCAAATACCTCACATTATGGGACATTGGATTGTCCATTTGAACTTGACAAGTGGCACTCACATTGGCTACTCTCCTTCGCTACTTAAAAGTTTTGCTCAAAGTCCCGCACATACAAGACGCTAATAGATGTCTTTCAAATGGAAAGTACCATCCAAGCTCATATTTTGTGGTGCAAGCATAATGATATACCTGAAATGGTTAAAACAGATCAACAGGACTATTAAACAATTTGCTAGCAATAGAACACCATCTTTTGGATCATGAGTAAAATTATGATTTAAAACACGTCAGCCTCCGTAATGTTGGAAATCTATTGTGACGTTGAAACATAACTTTGATGCACTAGACATCAATGTCAAATGAAAAAGTTAAATGTCTAATTATTCACAAGTGTAGCAGTTCATGGGTTTAAACAATCTTAAAGCAGTCTTTCATATTCTGAGTAGCTCACCCAGTAAATGTACGGCTAACAAAGAGACATCCAGTTTTTGACGTGTTAAGACACTCCTTGCTTACTATCATAGGCGCTCAATTCCTTGTTTAAGACTCGCGGTGTATAGGATTAGTTTGTGGAGTTGGTGGCCTCCTGGTTAGGCTACAGATCTCGTAATCGTGAGATTAAGGGTTCTGGGATTTGAGCCTCATCTCGGTCCGACGTTGTGTCATTGGGAAAGGCACTTTACATGAATTTCTTACTTAGCTCGGTCATTTCACAGGTGGAGGTTAAACTCTTAAACAACCTAACAGTGTTGACAGGGGCGTTAAACCTATTCCATTTTCACAGTAATATACTCCAACCTTTCATATTCTGAGTAGCTGACCCAGTACTTGTACCGCTAACAAAGAGCCATCAAGTTTTTGACGTGTAAAGACAATACCTGCTTATTATCTTAGGCGCTAAATTCGTTGTGTTAAACGTGAATAACATGGTTATCTGCTTACTGTTAAGAATCGCGGCGTACAGGATTTGTTTGGGGCGTTGCTGGACTAGTGGTTAGGCTACTCTGGACTCGTAATCGTGAGATTGAGGGTTCGGGGGCTCGAGCATCAGCTCGGTCTACGTTATGTCCTTGGGAAAGGCACTTTACACCAATTTCACACTTGGCCCAGTCCTTTTGGAAATGAACGTTAAACTCGGAGGTCCTGCCTTATGAATAACATAACTCTGTTCATAAGAGCGTTAAACCTATACCATTTTCAAAATTCTTAAAGGATTAGTTTAGAATATAATGTGTTGCAAACTAAACGATACTGATAACAATATTATGTCCTAATGCTTCCATCTCTCAAAATCCACGTACATTTTTATTACGCATGCTCCGAGAAATCATCGTTCTTTCTATTTATCAGGGGAGGCTTCGACCTTCCTGTACTTTGGTTCAACAGTATGTAAAACGTCTTGCTACTACAAACTAAGGCAATATTATAGTTTTGATAATATAAGATATTGTACAGAGTAGTGGGTATATATTTCAAAGCTCGTTTGCATTGCTCATGAAATCCGTTAAAATAGGAAGCTTAAAACGAAAAAAACACAAAGCTAGTATTACCACTGGGAACCTTTTCAGCTCGTTATCGTACGTATGAATTCCTGTTTTACAAAAAGTCAATCGACCGCTGCTCAGAAATTAGTTCTTGACGATATAAAATGTTTAGTGCCATAGATTTCTTTATAATATTATTATCCATATCCACCTTCTCCTTCCACCCGCACCCCTACCCCTCTCTCTCTCTCTCTCTCTCTCTCTCTCTCTCTCTCTCTCTCTCTTCCAGTCTCTCAATCTGTTTCTCTCTCCATTATGTCTGTCTTTCTCTTTCTCTCTATATCCCCTCCCACCCTCCTCTCTCTCTCTCTTTCTCTCTCTTTTCTCTCTCTCTCTCTCTCTCTCTCTCTCTCTCTGTCTCCCTTTCTCTCTCTGCCTCTCTGTCTATCTATTTATCAATCTCTGCCTCGTCATTTTTATTCCTTTTCGCTTGATAGCTATTTTTGTCTGCTCCTTTAGATTATTGTTTTCTCTTCTTGATATCATTCTTTACTTCAGTGATGTCTGCGTTAAAATGTGTGAGACTTTTCATTGTCTTACACATAAAAGGTATGGGTGTGATCCCGAAGGGGGAAGATGCTATAGTGAACAGTTTTGTCTCTCAGCTGTGCATCTACAGCTTGATTTGGCTTTGCACCACCAGGCAGGGTTGAGAGGCAGCCTACCTCTAACAATTCTGTTGTGTAAAAGCGCTTATTTAATTATAATTTCAACTTCCCCACACCATAATCACACATGGATGTTAAATAAATATCAGTAACAAAGCAGCGTTTTTTGTCTCTTTGCTCTGGTTTTATTTAAATTCACACAAGTGTTCCCTAACATTAAATACCAAATAAAAATGTGTGCTTTTGTGCGTGCGTGCGTGTGTTTGTGTGTGTGTGTATGTTTATGTGTGTGTGTGTGTGTGTGTGTGTATGTTTGTGTGTATGTGTGTATGTGTGTGGTGTTTTGTGAATCGGGAAAATTAGAAAATAACAAACAAATCATAACAAATGATTTATGATACAATTTGCTTATTTTGACATCACCAGGTTTGGTGCCAATTCCTGCACGTTCTGGCCCAGTACTTCACCACCACCAATTTCTCTTGGATGTTCTGCGAAGGCCTCTACTTACACATCATCATGGCGCATGCGCTTCGAACTGGAAAGAAACTTATCAAATGCCTAGTCATTGGAGGATGGGGTGAGTCCCACAAGTGTTTTATGACATTTCGTACCTGTAAATGCATTGCATTAATATTGCATACCAGCCTATTTCCCCTACTAATGGTCGCGAAATACTACATGACAGAACACATAATTTATCCTCGGCCATGTTTAGAGGTGATTTTCTTTTATCCCAAAAAGCACGCTAGGAACGGTTTAGTCTCTTTCACCACATGCTTCTGTGCTTTAAATTGTACTCCTTTCCTCATGTGAGAACATTGAATTGATTGACTTAAATTTGTAAACGACATATTTTACTGCAATGTTGTAGACACGTGTTATTTTTAAAAAAACATTGTTTACGATTTTTACTGGTCAGTTGTCAGCAGATACACCGAAAGAACAGTAATCCTAGTTGTCGTAGAGGTTAAATGATATCAGATAGTTTAATCGTAACTATTCAAACAGTATTGAAATGTTTGGGGATTACAGCGACGCAATATCGTTTATTCTCTTTTCTATTTTGTTAAAGGAATTTTACGAGATCTCTGTTATTACGCGATGAATAAGTTGTAAGAGAGGCTGAAGAAGCCAAAAATGACTTCATCTCAAAATCCTTAATTTTGACACGAATAGAGACTTTCAGGGTGTCCCCCCAACCCCCCCCCCCCCCCCCCAACTCCTTAAATAGTTCTAGAACAGCAGGGTGCTGATATACTGTTCTCAAATAAAACATACATAACAGTATCACTAGAATATTGCTTTCAAATCAACGACTTTAAGTCTTCTTATTCTATTTATTAATTTTATAGGGGATTCTTTTAAATGTTCTTTGAGGGGCTCTCCTGAACTAGAGTTTATGGTGTTTGCCTCTCATTCAATAGGTCCCGTTTCGAATCGGGACAGCGACGGAACATTTTCTTCTCTAACATTTTCTCCGTTCACCTCCTTTCCTGCTCTCTAACCATATTCTGTCGTCTGAATTCGTCTCAACTTTCTGCCCTCTACCCTTCTCCTCTCCCCTTTGCCCCCTCTTCTGCGTCCCTGACTCTTTCTGCAGCCTTTGTACTGTCCTCCTCACTGCTGTCTTTTATCCACACCCGTGATCTTATGGTAAGTAAGATCTAACACCAAGCCTTCTCGGACAATGGTGAAAAATCTCGGAGGTTCTACGTCCAAGTTGCGCACGTTAAAGATCCCTGGGTGTTCATAAAATCGACAAGAGTAGGCTTTGGCCGCCACCCGGGCAAGATTCAAAAGTTCCTACAAACTGAAAAAAATGTTAAATGTGTCCCGCGCGCTCATAATATGACCTTACGCAGTTGCGAGCAACGTAAAACAGTTACAAAAGAATGTCCTTTGTGGAGAAGTAAACACTTCGTCCTAATGGAAATTTGTTTTGCGTGTGAGTGTGAGCGCACTCTGGAGTAGGGGCCGGCAAACGCATGATGACACGTTCTAACTTGTATCTAAAAAGAGGTTAATGATATACGTCATGACCTATTTATATGCGTCTGAAGCTAAAATATATCCCAGTCTGTTTTTAGAGCTACATCACGACAGGGTTTTTTAAATCGAAGAATAAATGTGGTCGAAGCAAAGAATACGTCGCGGTATTAAAAAATAGCAATATCACGCCTTGTATCTACAGTATGTCCATTACTTTTTATTCCCTGCGTTCTCCCAACTTCAATTCTTCTAAAGTTTATTTAGAGATACATTTCAGAAAGTCTGAAAGTAGACTGGACAAAACGGACGAGTAAACACGCTTTTCCCTAGCAGATGTCTTTTCGGTACCCTAGAAGTACATTTAAATTAATTTAGCTTTCTTCTCCGTCTTGGTTATATTCGTATCTCCATTTTCTCTTCCTTTCTCTTCTGCATTTTATCTCTTCTTTTTTGGTAGCGCTCTCTCTCTCTCTCTCTCTCTCTCTCTCTCTCTCTCTCTCTCTCTCTCTCTCCCTGTCTCTCTCACTCAGTCTCTCTCTCTCTCGGTCTTTGTATATGTTTCTGTCATTCACCCAGGTCCGCTCGCTATGGGTAACTATCTCAAAATCACACACACACACACACACACACACACACACACACACACACACACACACACACACACACACATACTTGTATCCCAGTTCTGGCTAGTAATAATCTTGCAAGCAGTTTTCTCATTTTGTTCGTATCTTCATTAAATGACGGCGTCAAACAGAAAGCCAGATTGAAACTTCTGGAAGCGGGATCAGATCAATAATATTTGAACAGTAGAGCAGACACCAAGCATGGTAAAATCCCCTAAAAACTAGTAAAATCTTGGGAGCATGTGTTATTTTGCGAGCATCAATGTTTTGTGTGTACGCGTGAGCGGGTGCTTGTATTTGTATGTGCATGTGTGTGTATTTCTCTCTCGCTCTCTCTCTCTCTCTCTCTCTCTCTCTCTCTCTCTCTCTCTCTCTCTCTCTTTCTCTCTGTGTGTGTGTGTGTGTGTACGTGTGTGTGTGTGTGTGTGTGTGTGTGTGTGTGTGTGTGTGTGTGTGTTGATGTTGTAGAGAGAAAAAATAGTATTTTGGCATGTGTGTGATTACGTATGTGTGTGTGTGTGTGTGTGTGTGTGTGTGTGTGTGTGTGTGTGTGTGTGTGTATGTCTATGTTGAAGTGTATATGTGTATGTGAATATGTATGTGTCTGTGTGTGTACGTGCGTAGATGTAAAACCAGTTTGTTTGCATTGCAGTTTGTGTGTCTGTCTGTGTACAATGAAGCAACTGGGTTATAGCTCATATTAAATGCGATTTCAAATAGCCTTAGATCACCCTTTCATATTTTAAACATCAACCTCGATTTCGCCGTTCTCACATTCCTTTCGTTCTCTAATCTAGACGTGTTTTGTGGTGTGGACCCCTTGCAGGTGCTACTTTTTTCCTATTCTCAGCAATTCTCTAAAGACAGTTGATAGACAGTTCTGGCTGTCAGTTCCGCATATTTCTATTTACGATATATTGTAAACGTAGGTTGGGAAAAAGAGAGATAAAGTGAGACAGGGAACAGGAGAGGAGTCAGAGGTTGTATTATGCCTGTGTGTGTGACGGGGG